GGGTAGGAGAACAATCCACTCTGGATCCCAGGAATGCTCTCAAGAGCAGGGAGGAGATTTTTTGCGCCACTCGATCCCAGCCCACGAGCCTTTCCCTCCGGCCATCCCGGCTTATCCGCGGCGCGTTCCCAGCCCGTTCTCCGGCGGCCGTTCCCGATTTATTCCCGCCGAGCGTTCCCGCTTTTCCAGAGGCGCACGTTCCTGCACATCATCACACAGTCGTGCCTGACGCTGGGCAGGCTGGAGGACGGCTCGCAGGGCCCCACGGTGGAGGCGTGCGACGGGAGCGCGCGGCAGAGCTGGATCCTCCGCAACTCCTCCCGCCGGGAAATATTCCGGAGGGTTTACTCCAGCCCCACCGATTATTTCCTGTAGGGCCGCCAGGACTGCGAGGAAATCTAGGACGCGGTAAGGAATTCCTACGGAATCTTCCCGCTCCGCTGGAGGAGCTCAGCGGAGTCTCTGTCTCGTTTTATTTTTGGAGTAGAACATCTGTTCTTTCCATTTTTTGGTCTTTGAATTTTTTGGTCTTTGAATTTTTTTTGTTCTTTAAATTTTTTGTTCTCTAAATTTTCTTTCGGCCGCTGTGGAAATGGTCGTTTTTCACGGAACCCGTAGACCTTCAGGGAGTTTTGCGGGAATTTTTTGAAAGACGTTTTTCACGCGGTTTTCGTCGCTTCATGTCAATTTTCATACAGTTCGCGTGAAATTGTTCCTAAAAAATTCATAACATTTTGATCAAATCCTCATGGATATCTTGTAGCATTTTCATGGATAATCTGTAGAATTTTCATACAGCATTCCAAGAATTTTTCCTATCATTTTCATACCATTGTCTCATAGAATTTTTTGTGGAATTTTCATGGAAAGTTGATAGAATTTTTTGTAGAACTTTGACAGAATTTTTTGTAGATCTTTAATAGAATTTTCACAAAATCTAATATTGTTTCGTAGAATTTTCGTATCATTTAAAAGAATTTTTCATGCCAATTTTTTCTATAAAACAAGACAGAAGATGATCTTATAGCTGTAGGATACAACGGATGTTTAATGTTAGTTCTTAGCTTTTAGTAAGTGTTAGTTACTAGTAATTATTGGTCTTAATTATTGTTAGTTTTGATTAATTTTGGATGAATTAAACTCCCTTGATCCCTTCCTGTTACCATGATTGTTCCAGTCTGCAGGAGCTGAAGATTTAATTCCTATTCCAAGACATAAAACTAATTCCAGTTGCAAAATATTCTCTCAAAAAGGTTCAGCTTTCCCACAGATTTTTCCATAGTTTTTTCCTAGATTTTTCCTGGAATTTGATTTTTTAAATAGATTTTTTTTCCCTCGAATTTTCCTGAAAATCTTCCTATACCTTGGAGTAGCACAAGGGGATGGGTGGTAAGAAAACCAAATTCCTTGTTGGAATTTCTCACCAGTTTAGTTGGAACATCAGGGAAAAAATCTTTATACATATATATATATATATATATATATATATACATACACACACATATATTTAAAATTTTATATATATGTGTATACATTTTATATTTTTTATTTCTATATAAAATTAAAATATATAAAACTATGATATATATGAATTTACACTCATAAACGCCCATATATATTTATTATATATAATATATATAAATAATATATAATTATATATTATATAATATATATAATTATTAAATAAACATACTGCTATATTTTTCAGTAAATATAATACTATAGAAATATTATAAATAATTAATAGAAATTATGTTTATTAGCTGTGAGAGCATCAGATTCTTGTGAAAATTATTCCCGATTTCCTTCAGTTAAGAGTATTATTATATTATTTTAATTTATATTTTATATTATTCTGTGCTATATTATTTTTATAGAGCACATTTTATACTATTCTAGATTATATAATTTAATCTATTTTTAGTCCCTTAAACTTTGTATTCTATATTATTTTTATATTTGTTTATATTGTACATAATTTAACTTATAGTAATCTATATTATATTATTGAATATATTATTTAATATTATCTATAATCTTACATTTTATATTAATTAGTATTATTTTTTCTATAATTTATCTATTTTATATATTT